TTTTTTTTTTTTTTGGCAGTACTGGTGATCCTCACACATGCTAGGCAAGTACTCCACAGCTGAGCTATACCCTCAGATTTTTTTTGTGGAACTGGGGATCAAACCCAAGGCCTCATGCATGCTAGGCAAACATTCAACCACTGAGCTACATCCCCAGTCTACCCTCAGGCTTTGAACAGAAGTGATTATCTGTACAGAGAAAAAAAAAAGAAAGGATGAATAAAACTTCTGCATTCTTTAGAAAAGACACTAGAGTAACACTGCCTCTTGCATTTCATTCTCCCCACAATACCTCACCAACAGGCATCCTCTTTCTTTGAAATCTTAGGCCCAGTCTGCCCATCTTGGAAAGATCACCATAAAACACACTGATTACAGTAATTCACAATGTTTAGTGAAAGTGATGAAAGTTCAATACTGTTATCTGCTCAAGAGTTTATTTTAGCCCAGTGTGGAATGCACACCTGTAATTCTAGCACTTGGAAGGCAGAGGCAGGAGGACTGCTGAGTTTGAAACCAGCCTGCACTACACAGCAAGACCCTATCTCAAAAAGGAAAAGGAGAGAGGGAATGTGGCCCAGTGGTAGAGTGCTTTCCTAGGTAGCATGCATGAGATACTAATTTCAATCCCCAGTGCCACCAAAACAAACAACTCTCTGCATTTAATCTCTCCCATAGTCAGACAAAGTAGGCACTACTGCCCTGGTTATATGAAGATGTTTACTTTGATCAAAGTAACACATCTGGCAAGGGATAAAGCTACTAAATCTTTTTCTCTGGTAACCAACCATTCTTCCCATCAGAATGTCCTGTCAGTGCAAAATTCAGGTACTAGTAACTAGTAGAACATTAAAAATCAGCCAGGTGCGGGTGCCTCAAGCCTATAATCCTAGCTACTTAGGAGGCTGAGATCAGGAGGATTGTGGTTCAACACCAGCCTGGACAAATAATTTGAAAGGCCCCCTTCTCCAAATTAACCAGATCAAAATAAAATGGAGGCATGGCTCAAGTGGTAGAGTACCTGCTTTGCAGGCACAAAGCCCTAAGTCCAAACACTAGTCCCACAAAAGAAGTGAGAACCAACTCCAAGTTCAGAAAATGCTGACTGAAAACTCACAAAAAAAAAAAAAGTTTCAGTTAAAGTTACAATTCTATGCCTACTCCAAACTGATCCATAATATCAACATTCCCACTTTATCCAAAAAAGTTAGTCAATTCAAGATGTCACCTGACAAATATTATCCCTATTTTCTGGATGCAAGGACAGAACCAGACTAAATAAGCACAAGTACTTGCTTCAACAACATATATACTAAAATTGGAACGATACAGAGATTAGCATGGCCCCTGCACAAGGATGACAAGCAAATTCATGAAGTGTTCCATAAAAAATATAAACACATGAGCCACTAAAAGCAAAGTCTGTACTGTGTGTGTGTGTGTGTGTGTGTGTGTGTGTGTGTGTGTGTGTGTGTCTGTATAAGTGCACACTTGCGCTCTGGACAGTGTTCAGAATGTGTGGTTAGCCTATATTTGAAAGCAGACGTAACTCAGAGACTTTCCCAAGACTAGCAAAACCAGAAATTTCAGTCTCTAGGTATCAGCCACAGTCTATGCCTGCTACAGGTGAATTAGCTTCAAAGAAGATAATTCAGGCTAAGGATGTAATGTATTGCTAGGTCTAATCCCTAGCACCACACACACAAGAAAGATGACAGAGACAGAGAGAGTGAGAATCCAGCTTGGCACCCGTGTCCTAGCTACTCAGGAGGCAGAGATCAGGAGGATCATTATTTGAAGCCAACCTGGGCAAATAGTTCCTAAAACCCCATCTTAAAAATATCCAGTTCGAAGACAGCCCAGGCAAATAGTTCACAAGAATCTATCTAGTAAAAAAACCCATCACAAAAAAAGGACTGGTGGAGTGGCTCAAGATGTAGGCCCTGAGTTCAAACCCCATTACAGCAAAAAAAAAAAAAAAAAAAAATCCAACACAAACAGGGCTGGCAGAGTGGCTCAAGAGGTAGAGTGCCTGCCTAGTGTGAGACCCTGAGATCAAACCCACCCCAGTACTGCCCCCCACCCCAAAAAAAAAAAAGTAGGACCCAACCAAGCACCAGTAGGTTACACCTGTAATACTAGCTACTTGGGAGTCTGGATTGGGAGAATCAGCCCAGGCCAATCATGAGGACCGCCCCCCCCACTCCCATCTCCAAAATAACCAAACCAAAATGGCCTGGAGGTGTAGCTCAAGCAGTAGCGTGCCTGCTTTGCCAAGCATGAAGCCCTAAGTTCAAACCCTAGTGTCACCAAAAAAAAAAAAAAAAAAGGGGGGGAGGTGGGGGAACCAACTCCTCCAAATTCACAGGATTTCAGGAACTTCTGATTGAAAACCACATTTTTCTGACATCTCCCAAAATGAGAATTCAATCTAAGATCCTCTTCTCAATGAGCAGGAGCCTCTTGCAAGTTAATACTATCTCCTACTAAGGCCTGAACTTCCTCAAGCAGCATGACATCATTCATAGCTTCTCATTTCCTTTCCTGTTAAACCACACAAGCCTCATAAAAACCAACTCCCCAAAGACAAAATGAAAAATGACAGGGTTGGGGATATAACTCAGTGGTAGAACACCTGTCTAGCATGCATGAGGTGCTGGGTTCAATCCCCAGCACTGCAAAAAAAAAAGGAACAGAAAATGAACATTGTAAAACAGACTATTATAATCTCAAAGTAAGTCTAAAAAAGTAACCACAACCTTACAAAGTCAACTGATTCTCTGCTCCTTTAATAACTAACATATATCAAGACCTTATAACACAAGCATAGTCTAAGACAAAAAGTGACTAAAAGGGCCGGGGATGTGGCTCAGTGGTTAAATGTTTGCCTAGCATGTACAAGGCCCTGGGTTTGATCCCCAGTACCATCAGGAAAAAAAAAGAAAATTACTAAGTATGGTCCTTGACTTGAGAAGTTCACTATTAGACAGAAATACACATCCTAATACTTACTAATAAGCAAAGAGAACAAACATTTTACCCAATTTTTTTTTTTCAGTACTGGAGTTTGAACTCAGAGCCTCATGCTTGCTAGGCAGGCACTCTACCACTTTAGCCACTCCTCCAGCCCTCCCAGAATTTTTTTTTTAATATGACCTCATTTATCCAGAGATTTTACCAAGCTATTCAGCTCACTAGGACTCCTTACCTCCAGCTGCCTACTAACATCTCCCTCCATACATCCTCCAAACAACTTGATCTCAGCACACCAGACTGTCAGCATTAACCTTTAAAATCTGTCCCGGATTGGATAAAGCACTTATTTAGCAGGTGCAAGGTACTGGGTTCAAGTCCTAACACTGCCCAAAAAAAAATCTGCTTAACTTTTTCTATATCCTAAAATTTAGAATCCCCGTCAATGAAATCTCATCTTGAGTTAAAAATCTTAGATTCTACTCTCTTCCTAAATAGCCACAAAGTAATGGTGCATCTATCTCACAACTATTTCTAAAATCCATTCCCATCTCTTTATTATCACAGTCATAATTTATTCAGGATTTCAGTCAACCTACTAGAGTAAGGTTCTAGACAGGCATGGGTGGCTCACGCCTGTAATCCTAGCTACTCAGGAGGCAGAGATCAGGAGGATAGAGGTTTGAAGCCAGCCAGGGCAAATATTCCAGAGACCCTATCTCAAAAATAACCCATCACAAAAAAGGGCTGGTGGAGTGGCTCAAGGTGTAGGCCCTGAGTTCAAGCCCCAGTACCACAAAAAAATGTTCTTTCTTCCCCTCACATTTTTCACCATGCCTTTGCAAAGGCTGTTTTCTCCAACTCAAATGTCTATTTGAGCTCCTACTCATCCTTCAACACCCAATTCAAGAATCTGTTCCCTACGTAGATCTCCTTGACTCTCCCAGGCCATGGCAGTATTCCTCCACACTGTACACATGTTCTCATTATGTGGATATGTAACACACTGCACTACAAAAATTCGTGGAAATATGTCCTTCTGAAGTCCTTGAGCAAAGATACTATTTCTAATCTCAGTGCCAGTTACACAGTAAGTGCTCAAAAACTGTATGTTGAAAAAAACAGCTCACTCACATACATTGTGGATCAATTTGTCATTTGTCCATATTATCCCAACTTTATGGAAATTCAAAATTTGGGGGAGAGGGTGTTTTAATTACACAAATATCGAACAAGACAATAAATTATAAAGAATTAAAATCTAATGAAGGCTTCCTTATTCACTATGAATGGGAATTCTTTTTACAATCCTAACACGAGGAATCTAATCTAGACTCTGAAATCCTGAAAGCCCTGACAAAAAATTACACTATGCACGTAAGTCCAATTAAAGACACACTGGAAATAATTCCAAGTAACATGTGCTAAGTCAAGGGCTGGGATATAAACTATTTTCCCTGGTTTACAAAGAAAGGGCTCCCACTCAATTCAAAAGTATTTCTGCAGAGGAAGAATTGGGAGAATGGGATGATGCAAAAAACACTTATAGAGCGTGGCACAAGTTTGTTCCTGCCCCATTCGCCGTCCTCAGGAAACAAGGTCTCTCTGTCCCCTGGGAACTGGCTAGCAATCCCAAGAAATACGGTCGCTGCACGGATTCCGTGGGACAGACCGGCCTTCCTCCAGCCACACTCAAAGGTTTTGGCCCACACCCTCAGAGCACCGCGAGGAAGAGTCGGGGTCAAAGGTCAACCCCTCGGGGTGGGAAGCAATGAGGCCGGCACCGGGGGTCCCGGAGGACCAGTTGCTAGAACAGCAGAGCGAACCCCAGCCCAATCCTCCCCGCTGCTCGCAGCCTCGGCAGCCGCCCTCCTTCCTTACCCTCTTCCCACCCCCGTCACTCCCGTCACCCTTGCGGTCCCCCGCAAGCTCAGGCCCCGCCCCCACAGCCGCCTTAGGGCCCAGGCCTCCTGTGGCAGGATCTGCAGCGGCCCGCCAGGTGCGAAGACCCGGCCGGCGCCGCTTACCGAGCCCCCGGCTCCGCCTCCTCCACCGCGCCGCTCCCGACACCACCGACGCCGCTGCAGCCCCGGGCTCACGGGCGCGCTCCCGACCTCCCCGACCCTTCCTCCGGTGCGCCGTGACCGCCGGGTCCTAAAGCCTGCCTCACGCTAGGTTCGTCCACGCCCGCTTCCTGAGGCTGGCTCAGACCACAATTCCCAGTGAGCACCGCAAATTCTACAACTCCCGGAAGGTATCGCGAGAAGACGTGAGCCGTGCCCACCCTCCAGAGTGCCTGCTGGATACGAATCGCAACATTGTTTCCTTTTGGATGTACTCAAGTCCTTGAGCTTGCCAGGGAGGCGTTCTACTACTACTGGATTCATATTCCCTAGTCCTTTTGGCTTTAGATGTTTTTCTTTTTCTTTCTTTTTTTTTGGTGGAACTGGAATTTGAACTCAGGGTTTCGCACTTGCAAAGGAGGCACCCCATGACTTAAGCCACACCTCCAGTCCATTTTGCTCTGGTTATTTTGAAGATAGGGTCGTCCCAACTAGTTGCCCAGGCTGGCCTTGAACTTCTACCCTCCCCATCTAAGCTTCCCAAGTAGCTGGATTACAAGCATTAAGCCACTTGTGCTCTGCTCTAGATATTTTTCTGATAGGGTTTTGCATCTATGTTCAGACCGGCCTGGACAGCGATCTTCCCTTTTATGCTTCCAGTGTTGCTGGGATGACAAGCACGGGCCAAGCTTTTACTTACTTCTTGACCCGTTTAGCTTTGACATGCAATCGGTCTTCCAAGTAGCTAGGATTACAGGCGTGAACCACAGCACCCAGCTCGATAGCTGTTTAAAAAAATAATAATAATAATGGACTCTTTGAACTCAACAATTCCTTTTAAGAATAAATGTATCCTCGAGGCCCTGAGTTCAAACCCCCATGCTGCCAAAAAATAAATAAATATATATATCCTCTAGAAACACTAGCAAAGTTTGGGGGAAAAATATTTATCTTCTAAGACGTTTATTGCAGCTTTGTAAGTGGAATACTGGAAATAAATTTTTTCATCCAACAAGTATGTGTGTGCCTAATATACATCAAACACCGTGTAATATACATCATTGACAAATAACCCGAATCTCAGTTTTCTTTTTTTTTTTTCCCCTGCACTGGGGTTTGAACTCAGGGCCTGTATCGTGAGCCACTCCACCAGCCCTTTTTGTGATGGGTTTTATCGAGATAGGGTCTCAAGGAACTATTTGCTGAGGCTGGCTTGGAGCCACAAACCTCCTGATCTCTGCCTCGTTAGTAGCTAGGAGTACAGATGTGAGCCACCAGCACCTGGCTTGAGTCTCCTTTTTCTCATATGTAAATAGAAGCTTTAAAAAAAAAAAAAAAAAACGGGCCAGTCGCTGGTGGCTCACGGCTGTACTCGTAGCTAGTCAGGAGGCAGAGATCAGGCGGATCGAGGTTCAAAGCCAGCCCTGGCAAATAGTTCCGCAAGACCCTATCTCGAAAAACCCTTCACAAAAAAAGGGCTAGTGGAGTGACTTAAGGTGCCGGCCCTGAGTTCAAGCCCAAGTACTAAAAAAAAAAGAAGACAGAAAGAAAAAAGAAAAATGGGGTGGAAGCCTAGCAAGCTCAAGGCTCTGTGTTCAAACTCCAATGCCACCAAAAAAAAGATTAGGAGTAGTGAAAAAAGAAGTCACAATTCTGAGATTATATTGTAACAAGTGATAGTTACAGAGATACAAATATACACAATTAAATGTTTTAAATATCAAACTGAATTATCAAGGGCAGTTTAGAAACGCTCAAGTTGTAAATGCTACGAAAATTCAGAGAATAGAAATTTTTTTGTCAATTTCCAAAAGCTTCCTGCAAAGGTGAAGATGGAGTCAAGTGTAAAAGGAGAGAAGAAAAGGGAAGGGAAGGGTATGAGGATGAAGCAACATAATATACTGCTAACACCTATGTCAGGGAAGTAAATTCAGTACAGATTAAGACTAGAATAAGTTTAGAAGGTTACATGGCCTCTGAAACATTGTGGAAATTAATCCTACTGGCTGTATGACTTGAGCTTCCTGAGCCTTAGTCGTCTCATGTTATATTGGTTTGGTTATCTAGCTCTTCTCTCTTCTCCTCTTAGTCTACAGGACTCTTTTTTGGGGTGTAGTCTAAATGGAACACCATGCCCTGGATAACCAGGGTAAGTGAATGCATTTGACCTGGACTTGGCCACTAGGTGCAGCCTCCAAAGGCTTTGGCTCGCGATCAAGAAATGTAAAGATGAGGAATGATGATTGCAATTTATTCCTAACAGGTACTGTTCCCCAGTGCAGCAACCAAGTCATGTAGCACCTGAGACCACTGTATCAGAGATAAATGGTTCCTGCTGAAAAACAGTTGTGCTTCCTATTTTCTTGGTATTTAGTGAGTGTCTTGGTTCCTGCTCATTGTCCAAGCCTATTTGTCCTTTATCCTGAAGATTCTGTAAGCTCCTTATGTTCTTCTAATCAACTGCATTTTTACTTAAGATAGCTAGCTGTGGTCTATTTCTGTAACTTAACCAAAAGGTTCCTAAGTAATAAGATACACATAAACATGTGTACATGCAAACTTACTTATTCCTTCACCAAATATCAACTGAGGTCTTTATTTGTGCCAGGCTCTACTCTAAAAATGAAGACAGGGTGCAAAGATTTAATAAAAAAAAAAAAAAAAAGCTGGGCACCAGTGGATCACGGTTGTAATCCTAGCTATTTGGGAGACTGAGACTGGGAGATCACAGTTCCAGGCAGGTCCAGGCAAATAGTTTTCAAGACCCTATCTCCAAATTAACCAGAGCAAAATGAACCAGAGGTGTGGTTCAAGCGGTAGAGCACCTGCTTTGCAAGGATGAAGCTCTGAGTTTAAATTCCAGTCCTGATACAAGTTAGCAATAAGGAAAACAACCTGCCATGGGACTCCCTTCTCTTAAGCAAACAGATATCCCCATGCTGAACTTTGTTTTTTTAACTATTCCCCCAACACCACCTTGAGCTATCTCTAGAGCAATACATCCCCTCTAAATTATAAATACCCTGGCAGTTGTAAGTATCTTTGCAAGATAGTGTCTAAAGGGGCAACTTTGAGCAGGGTTTGCCTGGTAAAAGAGAGGTCTGCCCCCAATTTGACCTCTCAGGCAGTCTTCTACTTAAGACCTTATGAATATCCATCAGTCACATCTCATATGTACAATAAAAGGCTGGACGTTAGCTTATGCTAATGTCCAGAACACCCCATGTTATGTGGTAAGGCTATGTTAATTAAACCTGCCAGCCACTCTAGCCTCTCCCTAAGGACTGCCCAGATTTTTCCAGCCTTACAACTTAAAAATCAGTCTTTAAACAGATCAATGCTTCCATGCCACCTGGCAGGAGCCTACAACTTTTTCTCTTGCGGTGGTTCCTTTTATTCTTTCTTCCCTTTTCTTTCAATAAAGTTTTGCTACTGCTTTGCAATTTGTGTCCCTGTCCAGATCTCTGTTCAGGGGACATAAGAACTTGAGATCTTCTGGACTAGTGTCTTTTTAGACCACTCAGCCCAGTAACAGTTCCACCAAAAACAAACAAAAATCTTATGACAACCTGAATCAACAGGAGGAGTAATCTGAGGCAGGAAAATGATGTTTAGGACATAATGAACTTAAACTGTCTATGAGACATCCAAACAGAAATTTCTAATAGACATTTAGAAACCTCTTATTTGTACTCAGCAGACATATATCTAGGCTGTTGATAAATACTTCAGATCCATTGGCTTGTAAATATTGCTTCAAGCCATGAGGAAATAGAAGATGGGCTAGGAAGAGTGAATGAGAGACAGAAAGATAGACAAAGAGAGAGACAGACCAAGATGTAATTGGAGCATGGGAGAAGGAGTGCCAATATTTAAGGATGGTGGAAGAAGATGAACCAATGCCAAGCAAAACATTGAAGATGGTACCATCTAAAAATAAAAGAAAACCCAGAAGAGAAAGAGGCAGTGGAAACCACAGGAGGGACTTTCAGTAAAGAGCTTATAAAATATCACAGAGGAAAAAAGGAAATAAAAATGTCCTTGAACCGGACACCAGTGGCTCATGTCTATAATCCTAGCTACTCAGGAGGCAGTGATCATGAGGATCAAGGTTTGAGACCAGCCTGAGTAAATAGTTCACAAGACTCTATCTCGAAAATACCCAACGTAGAAGGCTCGCTGAGTGGCTCAAGTAGTAGAGTGCCTGCCAAGCAAGAGTGAGGACCTTAGTTCAGACCCCAGTACTGCCAATAAATGAATAAATAAATAAATAAGTCCTTGAAGGCCTAGCAAAAGCTACCTCAGGGAACTACTGGTTTGAGGAGTGGATTGAAGGAGGAAAAGAGGAAGCAGCAAATATCAAGGATCTTTGCAAGCAACTTGACTGAGAAAAGAAAAAGGGAATGATACTGTTGGGTCTGGAGACTTAAAAGGCAGATGTGTGAGTATCCCATCTCATGGAGAGCACTATGATTCCTGCATCCTGAGAAGGAGGTGTAAACCCTTACCCAAACCCAGAGTTAAAACATCCATAAAACCCCCAGCCTTCACCTGAGCAGGGAGTCATCAGATTCCAGGCTGCTGCACTGCTGTAGCTGTAGCCTTTCCTTTCTCTCTAATAAATCTTACCTCGTATACCGGCCTTGTCTCACAAGTCAATCAGCTGCCTCATGAGCCAGTTCTCTGGCATGTGAAGGCAAGGACCCTTGACATGGGCCCACAACATTTCACACCTGCATGTAACAATAGGCGTGCAAATAGGGAGGTGAGGTGAAAGAATAAATTTCATCACAGATCAGATGTGGATGTGTCTATGCTGAGAGCAAGAGGACAAAACGAGGCAGATTAAAGAAAAAAATAGATGCAGGTTCTCCAGGGAGGTGGGGGAAGGACGAGGTGGGGCTCAAAAAGAGGGACTGGCTTTGAAGAAAGGAGGAATACAACTCACCTGAAAAGGCATTCAAGGGTGAATAGACCTTGCATGTAAATGTGTAGATGTGTGCTGGACCTAGTGGCCTGTACCTGTAATCCTGGCACTCAGGATACTGAAACAACATCCTGATCTCAAGTTTGAGGCCAGTCTGGGCTATACAGCAAGATCATGTCTCAAAAAAAAAAAAACAAAAAACAAAAAAAAAAAACCTAATAAATTACTAAAAACAAATTTGTAGGTGTTGGGGAGGTGACAAATAGACTCAACCTCTTCAAATACATTATTGTTGTTTTTCCTAACAAACAGGTTTGGGTGAGAAATTGTAAAATGGTTTGTTTGGAGCACTGACTCTGAAGCCAAATCTGAGTGAATCCCACCTCTTCAGCTTCTCCCTCAAATTACTTCAACTGTTTCCTTTCCCTTATCTGTAAAGCAGGGCTGCCCCATAGTGTGTACTAAGGAATTGTAAACTATCACTCTTATTTTCCACTAGATTTTCATCTTGAGGTTGAGGTTTTCAATTTTGTTCAGGGCTGTCAGAGCCTGGCAAAATGTAAATGCTCAAGAAAAGTTTCACTAATGAAAAAGTTGGGGTGAGAGCGAGGTTGGGGAGAAGGGCAGACTTGGGAAAGGGACGCTCTGAGTTCAGAGCCCAGCGGATCTGAGTTAGACTTTAAGTCACCGCTTCCCGGGGCCGGGACAACTGACCTACAGCTCTGCTGAGAAAGCGTCCCCGGGGCAAAGCTGTGGTGGCTGCTCGCCCTCGCCCCCGGTCCCGCCCTCGGTCCCGCCCCCGGTCCCGCGGTGGCTCCTCCTCCGGTGGGCGTGTCGCGCCGGCAGGGTGTACACTGGGATAACGCTTGAGCCAGCCCGGCCGGGCCGGGCGGAGTCAACATTCAGGCCGGGCCTGGGCCCACCTCGCTCACCCCGGACGGAAGTCTCAGCCCGGCTCTCGACTCCGGAGAACCGCTCACTGACCGAGAGCCGGGCCTCACCCACGGGGCGGCTGAGCCTAGGAGAGCTCCGGTGCGGGAGGCACCATGAAGCGTGCGGGTACTCTGCGCCTGCTTTCGGACCTGAGCAACTTCAGCGGCGCGGCCCAACTCCGAGAGTTGTTGGCCGGGGACCCAGCCGTCCGAGTCCGCTGCAGCCCGGATGGCCGCCACCTGCTGCTGTTGAGACGTCCAGGGGCGCCCAGCCAGCAGCTCCTGGTAGCTGTGCGTGGACCCGGCGCGGAACTGGAACGTGCCTGGCCCGAGGGCCACCCCTCACCACTAGACGCCTTCTTCCTGCCGTGGCCGGCGCGACCCGCGCTGATCCTGGTGTGGGAGAGTGGCCTAGCCGAAGTGTGGGGTGCCGGGATGAAGCCTGGCTGGCAGCTGCTTCAGAGCACCGAACTGTGTCGGGGTGGCGGAGCCCGCGTAGTAGCCGTGGCGGCGCCCCGAGGCCGCCTGGTATGGTGTGAGGAGCGTCAGTCCGGCACTGAGAACCCGTTAGGGCAACCTGCAACCGCTTTCAGCTACTGCGTGTGCGTCAGGACGTTAGAGGCAAGTGGAGAGCCTGGTACCAGCCTGGGCCGCACACACGTCCTGCTGCACCACTGCCCCCCTTTTGAAATGATGGCCTCCCACAAGGACCTCTTCCTGGTGCCCACTGCCACCACTTGGCCTGGTGTGGCCCACATTCTGCTCATCTGGAGCCCAAGCAAGGGCAAAGTGATAGTGGCTGCCCCATGTCTTGGCCTCTCCCATAGTAAAAGCCTGAATCCCAGACAAGGAGACACCTGGGACTTTCGAACCCTGCTCCGAAGTCTTCCTGGGTTGCTGTCCCCTAGGGAGCCATTGGCTATACATACCTGGGCCCCAACTCCTCAGGGCCTGCTGTTGCTTGACTTCAGAGGCACAGTGAGCCTAGTACAGTCCCATGGTGGTAACCGAGTGGTGGGCACTCTGCAAGAGGCACCTGCAGGCCTTGTGGGGTCTGCAGCCCTAGGAATATTTCAGGGCACTCTGGCCTGTGTGCTGGGCTCCACCTTGGAACTGCTGGACATGGGCAGTGGACAGCTGCTGGAGAGGAAGGTCCTAAGTACAGACCGAGTACATTTGCTGGAACCCCCACCTCCTGGCATGGACAAGGAAAAGCTGGAGACCCAAGGGGGTCTTTGTTTGCTTTCAGCCTTGGGTTTGTTCTGTGTAGGTTGGGAAGTCCCCCAGGGCCTTGAGCTGCCCTCAGCCAAGGATCTGGTGTTTGAGGAGGCCTGCAGTTACTACCAGCGGCGGAGTCTGCGGGGTGCCCAGCTCACTCCAGAGGAACTGAGACACAACAGCACATTCCAGGCACCTCAGACCTTGGCCTCTATCCTCCAGGGCCACTTGCCCCCATCTACCCTGTTGACTACACTGAGAGCTGAACTTCGGGATTACCGGAGTTTAGAGCAGCTCAAGGCCCAGCTGGTAGCTGGGGATGATGAGGAGGCTGGCTGGACTGAGCTGGCAGAGCATGAAGTGGCACGTCTACTGAGGACTGAGTTGACTGGAGACCAGCTGGCCCAGCTCAACACTGTTTTCCAAGCCCTTCCTACTGCAGCCTGGGGCGCCACTCTTCGAGCCCTACAGCTCCAGCCAGATGGGACTGGCAGACTGAGGTCTCAAGCTCCCCCTGATGTGTGGAAGAAGGTGCTAGGGGGTACAATAGCTGGAAAGGACCCCCCCAATGGGATACTGCCTCCTTTTGAACTCCTATGCCAATGCTTATGCCGGCTAGAACCTCGATGGCTGCCCCCCTTTGTGGAACTGGCACAGCAGCAGGGCGGGCCAGGCTGGGGGGCTGGAAGCCCAGGGCTGCCCCTCTATCGCCGAGCCCTGGCAGTTCTAGGTGAGGAGGGGAACAGGCCTGAGGCACTGGAGCTAGAGCTGCTCCTGGGCAGTGGGCGGCCCAAAGCTGTGTTGCAAGCTGTGGAGCAGCTGGTGCAAAAGGAGCAGTGGGAGCGGGCTTTGGAGGCTGGCCTGGCCCTAGGCCCCTCCAGCCCCTTGCTTCGAAGTGAAATCTTTAAACTGCTACTGGGTGAGTTTGCCCAGCACCGCCGCCTTGATGCTCACCTCCCTCTCCTTTGCCGCCTGTGCCCACCAGAAGTCGCTCCAGATGAGCTCCTGCTTCTACTGCAGTCACACCTCCCAGATGAGGTGGGACCCCCTGCCCCATTTCCTGAACCTGGAGCAGAGCCCCCTCTCACAGTGGGCTTGCTTAGAGCCCTGTTGGAGCAGACTGGGGCTCAAGGACGGCCCTCAGGCCCAGTTCTAAGCCCATATGAGGATATCCTATGGGACCCAGGTACTCCACCCCCCACCCCACCTCGGGAACCTATTGCTACCCTCAAGGCATCAGACCAACCAGACCTGGAGGCCTGGGCACCAGCTGGACAGGGTCTCTGTGTGACTAACACAGGAAATCGCTTATAGGACACAGTGATCAGGGAAAAATGTCTAGGAGTTGGAAGGGGACAAGGTGGAAACTGTGTGTGCAATACTCCTCTCTTCTGAAGCAATTTTAAGACATATGTGTAAATGTTAAATATATACGTTTGTTTTTGAACAGCTGAGGGTCTGAGTTGTGGGTTATACAAGGAGTGGGTGAATCTGGATCCACTGGCCAAAGCAACCACTTCCAATTAAGAAAATAACATCGAATCTTGTGCTATTTATAAAAAAAAAGAAACATTTATGAGCATTTCATATATTCTAGGCTGGTCTTTATATAATTTCTCATCTAATGCTTCTCATAATCCCACTGGGAAAGTACTAATGTTATCCCCCCATTTTCCAGGTGAAGGAAATAGAGGTCTAGAAAGACTTAAGTGTAAGGACTGGGGTGACCAAGTAAGTCAGCTAGAAAGTGGCAACCGTAACGTTTGAACAACCTCACCATACAGCCCAGTAGCTCCTGCCTGATTGGGCTTGGATGCACTCCTCATCCAAGCCCAATTGGCTCAATGCTGGCTACTCTAGCATCCTATAGCAGAGCTACATCTTCCTTTCCTCAGCCTCTTCTCCCAAGTAAGGTCTGTGATGGGCCCTGACCCCATGCCTGTTTCTCCCCAGGAATCCTGGAGCAGTCCCTGGTTTCAAGGAAGATTTGCCACAAACAGGCAAGCTGCCTGCAGGGCCCTCTGACTTAGCAGTAGGAGTCACTGGGAGCAGAGTTACTTGAAGGGCCACATGTTCTTACTGACTCCCTAAGCCAAGATTTCTGCTTGTCTGGTTTAGTCAACAAGACACCCTCTAGTTGGTGAAGTGGTAGAGTGTCTGCCTAGCAAGTGTGAGGCCCTGAGTTCAAACTCTAATACACCAGAAAAAAAAGACCACCTCCACCCGTAGAGGCCTTGATCTATGCCAACTTCTATTGGAGTGGCCCTTCTACCTAGTTCTGGCTTAGGATTGGACCCTAGATACTGCTACTCATCCTGGACCCTAACTACACCTTGTCTAAGGGGACCAGTGTAAGAATTGCCATTCAACCTTGTTCTCAACTACGATCTACAACTTGGATTGTAGGACTAGGGTCAGTTCTGCAACCTCTCAGAGGAAAGGAGTAGCTCTTCAGTCATGTCCTTGGTTGATGTTAGTTCCTCAGCCTTGTGGAGATCCCAAGGTGGCTCATCTGCATGACCAGGTATGGGATGGCTCCTTAGCCTCACAGAAGTCTTAGGACAACACTTTCTCATCCAAGGCTTGGATGACTCTAATCCTGGCCCTCAAGCCAGGCTGTCTACCAACATAAGGAATCAAGCTACTGGCAGTTAAGCTGCTGATAGTTCCTCCTCAGCTTCCACCTCAACTCCTTCCTGGTCTGGGAGGGGTTCCTCTTTCACTTAGTCTTGAAGCTGAGCCCATTATGTCGTCTCCTCAGTGGAAAGCTGAGGGTGGCCAACAGGAGAAAACTGCTTCCTATTCATGTTCCTACTGAATTGTGGATTCTCTTTATTTTATTTATTTATTTATTTATTTATTTATCTTGGCAGTACTGGGGTTTAAACTCAGGACCTTATACTTACTAGGCCGATCTACTGTTTGAGCCACTCTGCAGGTCCTTTGTAGATTCTTTTTTTAAATTGTGGTTTCTTTTCAGTCTGAGATTTGCCTTGGGCTTCCTCTGTGTCTAGAAAAGAAGGAATTCTACTCATTAGGCCCTGGGACCATAAGAAAGGTGGTAGGTAGGCCACATGCCTAGTAAGTGTGAGATTCTGAGTTCAAACCTCAGTACCAGCAAAAAAAAAAAAAAAAAAATAGACTTTGGCTGGGCACGGTGGCTTATGTCTGTAATCCCTGTTACTCAGAAGAGGAAATAAGGAGGATCTCAATTCAAGGCCAGCCCAGAGGAAAAAAGTTGGCAAGACTCCCATCTCACTCACTAAGTTGGACAGTGCTGGCATTCATCTGTGATTCCAGCTACTAAGAGTCTGTAGGTAGGAGGATTGTGGTCTGAGGCTGACCCCAAGCAGAAATGTAAGACCCTACCTTAAAATATAACCAAAGCAAAAAAGGGGCTGGGGCATGGATCAATTAGTACAGTACCTGCCTAGCAAGCACTAGGCCCTGAGTTCAAACCCCAGTATCACTGAAAAAAAAAAAAAAAAAAAGTAGGTTAAGACTTCATTAGAGTTGTATGGAAGTGACAGGAAGTTTTCAGGGCCACCCATTAGTAGGGCCTGTACATGGAGACCACCAGCATGGCAGATGTGAGGAGAGCAAGTAGTCTTGAACATTAACTTTCACCTGCCTTTACCAGCTGGGTGTTTTACCCTTGCTCATCCCCCACTTCTAACATGGAGAGTCCAGCAAATCCCAAACTGCATCTCAAGACTTCGGAGAACATCTTAGGGAGGCAAATATCATGGTCTGACTGGGATTTGGTGAGTGTGTGAGACAGTTACTGAAGAGATGGCTTGGTGTGGCCTTCTCTTCCTGGCAGGTAGAAAACCCATGTCTGAAGTCTGATTAGTGGGAAGTCCCTGAGCAAGAAGTTAGAAACTGAATGGGAGATCCAGGAGCTGAGGTCCTTGACCTTGGGTACCTGAGAAAAGTGGGACAGTCTCAGGTTGAGGGTTTTGAATAGTGAACAAGGTTTCAGACCCGAGGTCCCTGGGCAAGAGGAGGTATGTCCACGTGGAGGTACTGCTCTGTAAACCTCAAGGAACACCAGAGATGAGGCACACTTTTGGGAGTACTCTTGCCCTCTGGCCTAGGGTCATCTTTGTCACCTACCCAGAAGCTCAGACCTCCTACCTCTTCTACCAGCCTGCAAGGGTCAGAGGTCAGAGGCACACCCCTTCTTCCACATGTGACCTGAAAGAAAATAGACAAAGAACCATTCTCCTTTCTTCCCATACCCTCACCCAGCCTTCAGCTTGGCCCTGGCCACCTGTCATTGAGATTGTAAAGTAGTTTTCTAACTGGTATCTCTGTCTCCTTAAATCTAATTTTGAAGCCAAGTGACGGTGGCTCATGCCTATAATCCTCGCTACTTAGGAGGCAGAGATCAGGAAAATGGTGGTTTAAAGCCAGTCCCAAGCAAATAGTTTGTGAGACCCTATCTGGAAAAAACACCAACACAAAAAAAAGGTGCTAGAGCACCTGCCTAGCAAGCCTGAGGCTCTGAGTTCAACTGAGGCCAAATCCCAGTACTGCCAAAAAAAAAAAAAATCTAATTTTGATTACCCAGAGTTTACAACAAGCAAATCTAATCAAGTTCAGCACCTACTTCAATAATGAGAGGAAAACCAAACTCCTAACAGAAACATCCCTTCTTTCCAGTCTGCTCTCAGCTTTTCTTCTTTGATGTGATTACCTAGTTATTTGTTTGTCTCCCTAATTAGCACACAAGTTCCTTGAGGGCACAGCCCATAGTTATTTATATTTTCATAACCTCAACATGTATCACAATGCCAGGCTTATACTAGGTTCAGTTATTAGTGAGGATATAGGATCTGACTGGTCCCCATGGCCTGGGCAGGAAGAAGAGATCTCTAGGCTTTAGAGATTTTTTCTGGCTCTCTTCCTGTTTTCCTATCGGCTACACTGACTGGTTGATGTAGATGAAATTGATGGAAAAAAAAAGGCAAGTGAGTCTGATGGAAGAACTGGGCCCTCTGGGGCAATAGTAGGGACAAAGAGGCCCCTGAGTCAGGACCATCTTGGGAGTTGTGGGGAGGACATAACTAGGGGATCCCAGATCCCCAACTCAGGAAAGGAGGAGTGGAGAAGCTTCAGTCAGTGAGGATCCAGAAGGATGGGCATCAGGGGCTCGTAGAAGTTGTGAATTATAGTCAGAGTACTAAAAGATTGATCCCTACATCAAATCTGGCCACTAAGGAACCTGTGTTTAAGAAATGTTCTATATTATATACAGATGCACCAGAATTTGGTTCACTCTAACCTCAGTAGTCAGGTAAAGAGAGGGAAACTGGAGGGTGGGGGCAGCTGTATAATCCCAGCTCCCCAGGGAGCCACCCCAGGCTAGAATGTTTGTCACACTGCTGAGAAGGCATGTGGAGGGAGGCCCAAGGCCCCCACTTAGCCTCTTCTTAGGCACAGGTTCCCCCTGGTGGTTACTCTTGTCACTGCCAGCTCCACCCATTACTCTCAAACATGCACACACTTGCAGATTTCTCACTTTAAGACCTGAGAAAACCTCTAGAGGTAGTAAATCAAGGTTCTCTGAGGGTAAGAGAGGAGGAGGTCAGGAAGTCAGGAAAGAATTCAGGGAGCAGAATCATGGAGAGAGGAAAGAGTTCCTGGAATTGTACTAGGACAGTGTCACCCAGAAGAAAGGGAGGCTGAGCTGCCAGGATTCTTCTCTTTAGGACTGGAACTGGGAAAGAAACTGAAAGTCACATTTTCTATGAATTTGAAATATAAGAATGCCAGACCTTATTAAAAAATCAATAAAGTAGCTGGACACCGATGGCTCACACCTATAATCCTAGCTACTCAGGAGGCAGAAATCAGGAGGATCTTGATTTGAACCCAGCCCAAGCACATAGTTTGAGAGACCCTATCTCAAAAAACCCTTCACACAAAAAGGGCTGGTAGAGTGGCTCAAGGTGTAGGCCCTGAGTTCAAGCCCCAGCACCACAAAAAAAAAAAAAAAGAAAGCAATAGTCTCACTTTACTTTATACACAAAATGTGAAACAGAGGTAAATCTCTTAAATAAAAAACTTTTTGAGGGCTGGGGATGTAGGTCAATGATAGAACACTTAAACAGCACTACTAAAGTCCTGGGTTTAATTTCCAACACCATTTTAAAAAGTAAAAGAAAAAAAGACTTTGAGAATCACAATTTCAAGCCTAATGGGCCATGCGAGCTGCAAACTGTGCTCACACTATTTTTGCATGGGTCTCCACTTCTGTTGGGAAACAAAAATTCAGGTGGGGAAAAAGGCTGAATCAGGCTGTGAAGTGAGAATGGAGTGAGCAGGGTAACTCACCAGCTGCAGAGAGAAGTCTTAAACTGATTTTGACTCTAATTCCCCAAGAGAAGGCAAGGACAGGGCCTGGTTCCAAAGGTCTCTACACAGGAGCAACAC